TGCGAAGAAAATCAAAGGTAATTAAAATATTGAAAATATAAACTTAACACATCGATAATTTTCGAGAAAGTAAATGAAACCAATATGTTTTTCTTTAAAAAAAAGAATACACTTTATTTAATTTTTTTAGAATAATTCTTCGCACAAAATCTAGTGACTACCTATAGAATATTTGAAAGTTTGATCAATATTCACATCCTTGTTAAATATAAATTCGTTCAATTTTATGGATCATTAGGAACAAGATATTTTTCGTATTCCTGATTCATTCATATCTTGCATACGAAGCTCTTTTAATAGATATATTTAGATCATCTTCATATGTGCGCACGCAAAGAAAATGCGCTTTTGTAGGAATTGTTACGTATGTGCATACGCGAGAGTGCTCGCATTCTTGCACTTGTAGAGAGATGAGATTGTTAGAGATGAGATTCATACTTTAATCTTAAATGTTGAAGTGCTGAATAAGTGTCGAAATATGCAAAACACGCAAAATATGCGATCGTTTTCGAAAAATCTTTCTTTAAAACTTATTTTGCATTTATATACTTTGCATGTTTATTTACATAATGGAATTTTTACTGTAAAAGTATTTTCTTAGATCGCGCGCTCCCGTCTCGATCAAAAGAAATCAATCAATTGAAATCGATCGATTGAATTTTCGAAAAGAATTAATATATACAGCGCGAGAGAGAGAGAGAGAAGAGAGAGAGAGAGAGAGAAGGGGGTGAGGGAGATTCTAAAAGAATTTAAATTAATTTATCGCAAGGAAAAACATTATGAATATACAATATTACATGTCGACTTAAATATACAATATTATAAGAGAAAAATAATTTTTAAATTATACTTCCGTCAAATGAGTCTTTCAATTTCCTACTTTGATATTTAGTTCTCTCGCACCTCTTCGTTTTATATATTGTAATTTTATAAAGATCGTTAAGGGCTGCCGCATCGCTCCGCAGTGGCCTCTCTATTATTCGTGAAATACTCGATGCAGCGGGAAAATGTAGACGACGCATTAAGGAGCAGAAAGTAGCACGACGTGGTCCAGGCTTCTTAAGGGAGCTTTGAATTAATGATGAAGTCAGGACCGTGACTAGAGAGATCAGAGCATATTAGATCCAATAAATCATGACATGTATTTTTGCTTTTATTTTTCTACATTGATGTAGATCATATATAGAAATAAATTTAAATTTTATATAACATGTATATCCTTTTTTTTATCTTTTCCATTTCTTAAATATATCGTGAAAGTATAATTTCTACAATCATTTTTTATGCGTTAATCTGTTATTTTGGTAAAGATGATAAATAGTTTCATCATACACGCATACACATACACACACATAGCCCTCGATTGATGTAGATTAATCTTCCTCCATACAAGCGAGACAGATAATTATTCTATTCCTAGAGATAATATTCATGTCCTTCTTGAATTTATTTACTTTAAACGTCATATGTTGGATATTCGTATTTTGATAAAATGAAAAATTATGTTTCCAGAAGGAAAATTGTTTCACTGAACCTGAGGAGATTATAAGAGTGATGTGTTAGGACTTTGAATCCGAGTCTACCTTTTCTAAGGATCAGGTTACGCAACTTTCTCCTTGAAGATTCGTGCGCAGTCAGCTCTTCGTCTTTTTCACCATCGATCTCTTCTTTTAATATGGGTCAGCCTGATTATGCCAAGACACGAATGGTCGCATAAAAATGGAAAGAGCGATGCTTCATGTAGGCGAAGTGTTGCAGATAAAGGAGAGTGAGGGGTATAAGAGCTCAGCGAGTATTTAGGGTCCTCGATTTCGCCGTCTTTTGACGGGAAAGAAATTATGATACATAAGGGTAACAGTTCATACTTTTCATATGGATTAGATAGTGTTGTTATAAATTTTGAAAGGCAGATTTTGGTGAATATAGTATCTTGTTAATAGATAATACATGCAAATCATCGTTTCTGTAATCATCGTTAAAATTTTATGTAGTCATGAGTTAAAAAATACGCTTTTTTCAACTTATTTCTTCAGCGACGTTCTTAGAAAATGTAGATATCAAAAATTATGACGTATAGAACATATATCATATTTTTATCATCGCTACATTTGAATATATATACATATACATATAATCATTAGTATGCACGATCAATCGCAGATCATTGAAATCGATATTTTTTTTCATTTTGCAATGACCAATTTGTTTCCCGTTATTTTTCACTATTTTCATTCCTTGCTCTCTTCTATAGTCTTTCACTTTTTCGGGAATACTCAGACAGTATCATATAAAAATGAAATTGATCTTCAATCGTAATCACTAGACCGGATTCACGTTACCAATTTGAGTCCGACATCTTTCACGCTTCTTCTCTGACGGAAACAACTGCCTTAATAGATATCAGGCCTTACATTACTTGGCATTGATCAGTGCCTTTTAAACTTGTTACCTACTTTCGGACAAATTTGCCTGAAAAGGGAAGGAAATTTTAAAATTGGAGAAAATTGCGCCACAAACTAATAAAAAATTTGAAAACTATTCTCGATAATATTCTGCGAACATAAAAAATATTCGAATGAATAAAATAAAAAAATGTACTCATCATTAATGAATTTAAACTTATTATCTTAGTATTAGTATTTGCAAGTGGAAGAAAAGATTTTAAAATTTATAAAGACTTCTTTTTCACATTTTCTTTTTTCCCCTTTTTATCCCACTTTGTACTATACGTGAATGTTTTTATAACAATTTGATATTTATCGTGAGTGGAATAATTTATTCACATAATAATTATAATAATTATAAGCTGTCGAAATATATCAAAATAATATATCAAAATAATGTAGCGCGCATCGCAATTAAATTTTAAATTAATCAAAATTTAATTCGATGGATTAATTTCCTCAAATTAAAACTCCATTTTCATTTTCTTAAAATTGAGAACGATTGTGCGCAATGTAGTTTATGCGCACAATAACGAGTTATTATCAATAATGCATTTCTAGCGCTGCAACAACGCTGCACTTCGTACAAAAATACCATCATTATCTATTGTTTCTTTCAGCGGACATGATAGTTATGATAGTGTTATAAATGATTATGTTATGTAATGAAACCTAATGAATGTTTGGTAGAGTTGAAACTTATATTGAAAGTTAGTTCTTGATTACGAGAATTTTTCATATGAATGTATTATTAAAATCAGACACGTAAAAACTTTATCAATTATATTCGTTATACGTGAAATTCTTCTTTATGACGGCACGTGTCATCGGCAATCGTGTAAGACCGCGTAGTGGCTATTTCCGCTACTACGTCGTGCTATTTCCATCGTCTGCGCTCTGGGGGTACACGGACTTCGAAATTGATGTTTGTCCTCGTCACATCGGCTTCCCATTGATGTTCTAAAATAAATCACCAATCGACGTAACTCCTGCCGAATACATCGACTGGGTGCATCTTTGCTTCTAAATCAGACATCTCATAAAGTAACTCTAGCCGTGAGTGATTTTTACGTCCTCTATAAGTGGATTATTCGATGATTAAGTCTAGAGAAACCAAGAAATGTTGAAGTATTCCGCGAGGTAACTTCAAAGAAGATTATTACACTTCTCTTAAAAATTCTTTGTATTGCACACTACATTTTATAAAAACAGGCAAGAGAATGAAACATAATTGCGCGATCTTACGAAAAGAAGCATCTCATCAAATTCTTCATCCTTTCGGCATCATTCTAACGATGCTTAAATTTGACAGAACGTTGCTTTATATTATTTTTTTATTTATCGAAAAGAAAATTATATATAATGCTTTAAAGATATTATTGGGATATTATAAATATATTTGCGCTACTTATCAGCCAAGAGGACTTTAGGACAGATTTTTGATACATTAACAAAGATTAAAAATTAGCGGTGATTTTCCGCCCTGAAATTATCGTAGAAAGTTTATTTGGGTGAATAAATTTTAGCAAAACAAAAGCTCTTTCTCAAAGCGATTTCTGTTCAAGCGAAAAATAACCTTCGAACCCTCAGAGAGGAATTGTTATCCCCTCATTCATACTTGAAAGATGCCGTGCAAGCGTCTGCATGTGATTAATTTTTTAATTACATGCGATTGCGTGATACTGACTATTTATTATTATTATTTATTATTAATTCTAACTATTCGTGGAGCTTAATTCAAGTAAAGGAGAAAATTCTTATTTTTGCGTATATTTAAAAGGATATAGGCTAATCTAATTCCGAAATATAAATTATTATATTTAAAATCATAAAATGCTTTCAATCTTAGTATTTTGATTTCGCTTAAGAATTAATTAACGCGTCTGATAACTCACCGATGTAATTCCGACGATTGTGACATGCTCTGACATTCATCCGAATCTCGTGTTTCCAATCTGTTTGATTATTGTCGAAACCGACGCGCATCCATCAATTGCTCGATACACTTTCGATACCGTGTACACATCAGTTCAAGTAGAGACTGCTAATAATGAATAGACATTAATACACGTAGAATATCGTAGATAATAGATATGCATTGTATGTGTCTATTTCCATTTGGTCGTTAAGTCTAGTAGTCTAGCGGACACGTATATACGCCATGCGTCCACCTGATAGTCTATTAATAAGACAGCCTGCGGACTTTCTGGTAAACTGAAACTCTACTTGCTTGTAGTGCAGGGAGAATACTCAGCATTTACAGTACAATAATTGTGTATTAAAAGTCTATAGAGAATTAATAAATGATATTTTACCGTATCATATTAGTATCGATTCTGGAATGGTTCTGTATGCTATACAATTTTTTTTTACACCACAACATGTGAATATTTTAATCTTAATCTAAATCTAGAATTTAGTAATCTAATAATTTCCTCTTTTCTGTGATTTTTACATCATGTAGATGTTGAAGTTATTGAAATAACGGTGCAATATAACGTTTTAGTTGTACGGTCGAAAGGTTTATTAACGACATTACGACTTTGATTATTGCAGATCGCTGCCGAAACTCAGCAGCCAGGACGAGGATGGAACGAATCCTCACACCCAATACACAGGCGTCACACATTTCGAGCCCATACCGCACGATCATGATTTCTGCGAGAGGGTCGTCATCAACGTAAGTTGTGTTTTAGCGTTTAATCATTTTAATTCCGAATTTTCCCTTTTTGATAACTTACGAATTTTATCTTATCGTAATCTCTCTGGTAGAAGACATACACAGTGTTTTTATTGTTGTAAAAATATATATTGTTATTTTATGTCGATTGGATTCTCTCGAGGGAGAGATATCAAAAAGAATTCTCTCGAGGGAGAGATATCAGAAGTTTCTGATTCTTTATAATCTTTGGCGACACCGATTCTTGGAAACGAAAAATTTTCGATTCCAAACACCAAAAAAGTTTCGTCTTTACGGAACCTTGGCGCCACGGATTCTTAATCTCGCAAAACTCCTGGCGTCATAAATCTATAGATTCGATGCTTTTCAAGGCGAAGGCAATAAAATACTACCGATATCTCAAATATAAATATAGATCCATTTAAATATTGCTTTCTTTAATCTGTTTTTCTCGTTTAATCGTATTTCTGTCCTCGTTTTATCGCTATAATCACTAGAATTATATGCATAATATCTTTACGCATAGATAACTCCAGTCCGGTTCAATATTCGCACACGTTCTTATTTTCGACGAGGTGAGATTATCTCAAGACATGAAGTGACCTACAGACCGCGTTTTGGCGGTCGTCCAAGTTCGTCTTGGAATCGGGAGCGATATAGCATCAAGGTCGTATTGTATGAACGGAATTATCTGTCCTCGCGGATGACACGACTGCATTGCGCCAATTACAGCAATCGGTTCGATCAATGCGTCTTATTCCTTTTTTTCGCTCTTCATTCCGCCTTGATGGACATGAAAACTCGGCAGAGGTCAAAGCACGCTGCGCGGTGCGTGGGTAGAGCGTGTAGGTATCACGGGATCGATATGTAACATGCACACACATATACACATTCGGGAATTAACACATGCTTTTGCTTTCGTTCTCGGTAAAAAGTAAAAGAGATATAATTGAAGATTATCTGAAAAATGTTCTTCTCTCTAAGAGGCGCTTTCAATCTTTAGGAACACGTCGTTTCTGTACAACGAATTTATTCTATCCTCTTATCTTTTCTTTGTCACCTCTAGTTCTATCTAAGAGGTTCTCGGATAAAATAAAAATATTTTGTTGTTCAAATCATATTTGTCACGTTTTCCTTTTTCCTCTTCTCTATTTTCATTGACTTCTTCTTTTTCTTTCCTTTTTAATCATTTTGTTGTGTACATAAAGTATGTGTTTGTATTTTCCTCGAATGCATATTCAGTTCTTGGCGGGAATGTTGTTAATCGAGTTGCTATTATTAAATCGAGAAATGCCGTTATGTTAAAATATTTCTCTATAAAAAATTAAAAATTATGACATTTTGTCAAGAAAAATTAATTTTATTATTCGTCTTGAGAATGATTACAAGTCATTCTCGAATATAATTCTAATTCTTTTGAATACATTTATTTTTATAATTCATTGGAATTCATTAGAAAATATTGTTTACGCAATCCGTAGCTTCTTTATACAAGATTGTTGATTTAACATACTATTTCTATTACAGATTAGTCTTTAATGAAAAGTCTCATAGATGTCCTATTTATATAAATACATACAAGTTATATAAATCACTATCACAAATCTATGCGTTGCACAAATCTTTGATAAATGTTATTCCTTAATTAATTTTCGATTTAATAGACGTATATCATTAGCTTTAATGAAATTGATTTTAATCATATGGAATTACGATTTTTGAAAAAATCTTTTGTTGAAAAAAATCTTAGAGAGAGAATTACCGGGGTATTCAACATAAATTAACAACGTTAGATGAGTGGTCTACTCGATCGACATGATAATCTCCGATAATACGTTAGTCCCTTTGTGACGACCAGCTTCTACAACCCACCCGCGCCCCAATTAACCGCTTGAGCGGCGCGCCCCGCCCAACGTGGCGCCACTGTACCAATAATCGATTGCTGCGATCGACAGGTGAGCGGGCTACGGTTTGAGACACAACTGCGTACGCTGAACCAATTTCCGGACACGCTGCTCGGCGATCCGACACGGCGGCTCCGATACTTCGATCCGCTACGCAACGAATACTTCTTCGATCGGAATCGACCTTCCTTCGATGCTATACTCTACTACTATCAGAGCGGCGGCCGCCTACGCCGCCCGGTCAACGTCCCGCTCGATGTCTTTTCCGAAGAGATCAAGTTCTACGAGCTGGGCGAGATGGCGACTAATAAGTTCAGGTACGGGAGCAATTGCCTTTAAATTGTACGCAACAATTGGTTTGCAGAACGGTTACTTAAAATTACAATTAGTTTAATTTCATTCAGATTCTTTTGTTTTTACAAGTGTGTAAAATTAAAAAAGAATCCACGAATTTTGAACATCTCTCTCGTATCCCCTGTATTCATAGTTTTTCATCCTGCTTATATATTATGTGTATTATATCCGGTAGTCCTTACAATTACACTTAGGAATTTTTTGATCAAATTTAGAATAGATCTATTCTTGAACATTCCTCGCACAATGATATAGATCCCTGCTTCTTCAGATCTTGGTTACAATCCAAACCTTGCTTTGAGAGAATTATAGTAATACTATATAGTTCTCTCAAAGAGATCTTTGACTTTCACTCCATACCACGAATACAAAATACGATTGTAGAAGATTTACAGAGAATAGCTCTATTGCATGAGATTAACGAAGCAATGATTAACCAAACAGGGAAGACGAAGGCTTCATCAAGGAGGAGGAAAAGCCGCTGCCGTCGCACGAGTTTCAGAGGAAGGTTTGGTTGTTGTTTGAGTATCCGGAGAGTTCGCAAGGCGCCCGGGTGGTCGCCATAATCTCCGTGTTCGTGATCCTCCTATCGATCGTGATCTTCTGCCTGGAGACGCTGCCCGAGTTCAAGCATTACAAAGTCTTCAATACGACGACAAACGGCACGAAGATCGAGGAGGACGAAGTGCCGGATATCACGGACCCGTTCTTCCTAATAGAGACTATTTGTATCATCTGGTTCACATTCGAGTTAATAGTGCGCTTCCTCGCCTGCCCAAACAAATTCAACTTCTTCCGTGACGTAATGAACATCATCGATATCATCGCGATCATTCCGTACTTCATCACCCTCGCCACGGTAGTGGCCGAGGAGGAGAACCCGCTGGATGTACCTAAGGCGCCAGTAAGCCCGCAGGACAAGAGTACGAACCAAGCAATGTCCCTGGCGATACTCAGGGTGATCAGGCTAGTCAGAGTGTTCCGGATATTCAAGTTATCTAGGCATAGTAAAGGCCTCCAAATCCTCGGGCGGACTCTCAAGGCCTCCATGAGGGAACTCGGATTGCTCATCTTTTTCCTCTTCATCGGTAAGTTCGATGATAGATCATTTCAAAAGATTAGTAATAACACTATGGCGAAAATAATGCTTTATTATCAATTAGTTATATGAACCTAGAGTTTTTATTATTGAGTACAAGCTGTGTAGTAGTAATTATACTACACCATTTAGATAGTATTTATCTAAGCTAGATTGACATTTACTTGTATTTATCACTAACAATAAGTGGCATGCATAACCAATCTTCTCATTATCGAATTCATTAGCTATACAATTAATTAATAATACATCAATGAAGACTTTATTGGATGTTTGAAATGCAATTTAAGTAATATATGTGTACACATTCGCGGGAACACTTTCTTAAATTTACATGTTAATTTCAAAATGTGTGAGAATTTTAAGTTAATTGAAAATAGGATATGTAGAAAGGGGGAAGGGGGAGAAAAAATATAAATAGATGAATGACGCGAGAAGAATAAAAACAATAGCATTTGACAGAAATCACGCGAGGTCGAGGTAATCGAGCTTTCGCTATTCTAGTTTGCATTATGTAACATATACCGTATGCAAATGCTTTGGAGTTTGAAACTGTTCCACGGAGGACCTTGGAATTATCATGGATGACGAAGTCGCGAACAGCTATAGATCTGTTTTATTGTCGAAAAATTTATGACATCTTTGCATCTCCTCCTTCCTCAGGTATCTTATTTCTTTCGTATATTATATATATACCAATCTGAAAATGAATGAGAACATGAAATTTAGTAATCTCTCTTGGAATACTTGGATAACTCTTAGATACGCAGATCTCTTCGTACATGAGAATATTTATCTACCGGAATTTTTTATAAAATCACAAGTAAATTTGATGCAAATTATACACTAGAAGAATTCAATGAAGAAAGTTTATCCACTTAACTATCGATTCATTGATGTCAAAAATTGGAACGGTTGTTTTCGTGAAGAAATTGCTTTTGAGTCAACAATTTCTCGGATGTTTTCTTCTTCGTTGACCTCGGAGACATTCGAAATATCGTTTCGGGACCTTTGTTTCTTGGTAATCGTTTCTACGCGAATACTCGTTGCCATTAAAAGGAACGAGTAAACGAGATTTATGATGCCGTTTGCTATTGAGTACAGTTGGCAACTTTCGGGAGTCGAAATCTTCGTCGAACTGTTCGCGGCACAATGGCTTTCGAAAGGGGACATGCTAGAAAGGATGTAGATGAAATGGAAGGAAGAATTTTGAAGAATATAGTAATTTTTTAATTTACTACATATTTTTATACTTATAGAAAGTTGCTGCGTAGAAATGGTTTAAAAGTTTAGAGTTCAGTTTTAAGAGTTTAAAAATAGATATATACGGTGCACGACAGTACACTGTTTGTTTTTACATTTTAGATAAATGTGTCATTTTTCAGTAATATCCGTTGTTATGTAGTAATTATGCGTTATCAGTCTATCAGATCTAACTTTGCCGATGCTGTTATTTATTGGAATTCGATGTTATATAAAATTCTTGTATAAAATTATCACAATGAAATTATTTATGTTTTATCATACTGAGATACAATGATATAATTGTACATATAACATTATAAGATAACGTCATTTGAGGTGAATTGAACCGAGAATCGAGAGATATTATACAACAGAATAATATTTTTCGAAATCTATTTATATTTTTATAAGTTTATTTTAACTAATACAATGAAAAGAAAACAATTATAACATTCAATTATTTTTCTAAATGAGATATTATCTCACTTAAATTGTACAAGTTCGTCTGCTTAATCCTCTTAAACTCTTTCAAGGATAAGATCTTTTACAGCCGACAACTAAGCTTTCAACCTTACGTGGAAGAAGAATTCCTGTCACCGAATATGCCAATAATAAGACAATGAGTATTGCAAAAGCCCTCCAGAAATCTTTTTTTTGCCATTGGACGACGAATGACAAGCGTCTTAATCGAAGAAATCATCGAAATCTAGCTGATTCTAGTTCTAGGACATTTCAGATGCAATCGCGACTTCCAGATTAAGATGATTCCAGTAACTATATCAGTAGTATACATATTTAATGTATATTACCACATCTGAACAGTCCAGGTGCGATCAATCGATCACCTGGAGACCGCGTGGGCGATTCCAGAAATCCTTCCTTCGGAACCTTAATCAGAAGGTCGCACAGATCGGACGATAATGGTCGGATCCGCGCCCGCGGAACGTGTCAACATACGCGACGAGTGCGGATGATGACGTACACCGTCTTGACCCGTGCCTTCCTCTTGTGTTCGTTGCAGGTGTGGTGCTGTTCTCGTCAGCAGTCTACTTCGCGGAGGCCGGCACGCAGGACAGCTTCTTCAAATCGATACCGGACGCGTTCTGGTGGGCGGTGGTCACGATGACGACCGTGGGCTACGGCGATATGAGGTACAGAGTCACCGGGGGCGTTAAACCCACTGAACCGGTGTTTTCTTCCTTGCATTGCAGGTGTGGTGCTATTCTCGTCGGCGGTATACTTCGCGGAGGCCGGCTCCGAGAATTCGTTCTTCAAATCCATTCCGGACGCGTTCTGGTGGGCCGTTGTCACGATGACGACCGTGGGCTATGGTGACATGACGTATGATGTACTCACTTTCACTTAAGACTCTAGTTAATGCCCGCAAAACAATGACGACCGCGTCAGGTCATTGAAAGAGAGAGAAAGAGAGGGAGAGAGAGGGGGAGAGAAAGAGAGAGAGAAAGGGAGAGAGAAATCTAAAAAAACTCACACAATTCCTCAACTTTGATTTATTTCGACATCTCTTTAAAGTTGCACCAACATTCATTAAATGTTTAAATATTTCCTGATTGAAAATTGAAACTGAAGTTAAAATAATAATTAGATTGATAAATTAAAAAAATTTTTTTTTAAATTTATGAATTTAGAAAAGCGTGCAATTTCTCGAACAATTTATATATTAATTAATATTATAATAACATTATAATAGTATATTTATCATTTGATCATAGTTAAAGATCAGAATTAACTGTTGGTGCAATCACATCCTTTTTCTTCTCATTTTGACCTTTCCTTTCAGTCAGCACGCGTTGCTCGAAGCACACTTCAATTATTTCACTCATTGACATATTGTTCTATTTATCTTAAATTGGTGATGATGAACACACTTAAATGCAATTAAGTTATGTAATGTTATCTTTTGCTTCATACACAAGAATAAAGTTTCATATTACAAAAAAACGTAATTAATTCAATTATTGTTCAATTACTTGGTCAAATTTGCGTAAAAAATTTTAATCTGAAGTTGAGCCGAAATTTAGTTATTATTTTAATGTGCAATTAAGCTGTTCATGTAAGATTTGGGGATTAAAGTTTCTACGCATGAATACCAATTGTATTTTCATCATTGAATTAATAAAACTGATGATATTTTTCCCACACAATCATTTTTCTATTCATCTTTTAATCTCGCTCGCACACTTATTAATCAAAGCTGACAAATGTTTTATCCTTAATTTCATAAAGAATACGTCTCTTTTTTGTCTGAGATCCTTTAGATATTTCAGATTTCAGATTTCTAATTATCTTAAGTTTTACAATGATTTTTTTAAATATTTAATATTATGGAGTCTCGCAAAGATATTTTATGTTAAATTCTTTATATTATTATACTAAATTTTACTCAATTACTATTAGAATATTCTCTTAAATATCGCAAAGAAAAACTATGTTCTCCAATTACGTGACCTACAATCACATAAAAATTCAGCACTCCAATAAATATAAACTGCATATCATGCTCACGTCATACACCTCTTCAGCTCTCTAAATACTTTCGCCTATTTTACATTTTTCACGTGTCAGAATATTCCATTAATACTATTTATTCTATGAATTCAATAATTATTTGTCAAATTTGAAAAAATTAGTTCTCTTTTAGTGATAATTTTGAAAGAAAAGAACCAAATATTTTATTAGATAATTATAATTTCAAATTTATCGAAAATGAATCATGAAACGGAATTAAAATTATTGGTATTATATGTGCTTCTAAATTTTTTTAAGCTATCACATAGTATCATATAGCATTTCACATGTATAAACTTAATATGAGTCGAATCAGCAATAATTTTGACGTTCGGCAAAATTTTTACGATTGTTTTTATTGCGCATTATACACTTGACATTTGCAATTGTTTGAATATCGCTCTTAAGAATCTGAACATTTAGAAGTTTAATCCGAACATTAAGAAACTGAACGTTGTTCATGGTATCTACTCATTTAATTTTCGCGCTCAATGAAATCCGCGTCATAGATTTTATAAAACTCGAAAATATACATCTATTACAATCTAAAAACTAAAATTATAAAAAAACGAATACGTTTGAAATTGAATTAAAAATATTTTAATTAAGATATGGAGCGTAGCAGTTTATCCTTCGGAATAATGAAATAAAAAGCTTCGATACTCTTAATTTTCTATCATTGGAAAAGAATCTCTATCGTGTTGCGGCCTAGAAGGCCTCTCGGGCAATTGTCTACTAAATCAATAAGTGTCCTCAGACACGGAACCGCCCAGAAGCGAAAGGAAAAATCACGGAGAGATTTGAAGCCGCCACGTTACGCTACACCTCACGTATCGATCGATGCACACCCGCAAAATGTGCGCGGCCGCGAGGTGTCCGGCTATTCCACTTCCGATGACCTTTGCGCGACGTGGTTTGTTGAACTCGCGCTATAGATGGTCAATATTGTTTGCAAGACTATCACACTTGCTCTTTGCACACTACCGATTGCCGTCTAGTAAAAATCGAAGTAATGAATTAATAATAACATTTAGAAATATACTTGAAAAATTTATTCTTTTGCCCTTGCAATTTTCAGTGTGTATTTAATATTATCGCTAATATAGAAAAATGTCAAGGCGCACGAGACCACCGATCCGATGTGTCTTTGTTTACTTTATTAGAAATAATTCGATGACGTGAACGATGGTATGATCGACTTTGCGCAGAAGCGTGCGCCGCTTGCCCCACCGAATGATCGCTGAACGACATCGACCCGCATGGCATAATACATACGCATAATACATTTACGTAAGAAAAGGAGAGTGACCATTTACATCGGTTTTTCGATCCATTTCTTTATGGTTAAAATTATTTATTATGAAATCCTGATCAAAAGTTGTTAAGAGAATTTTTTTGCAAGATGTGCAGAGGTTCTCTATGAATTTGAAATTCTTTGTTAGGATAATTAATCTTTGTTAAGATAACTTGTTAAAAAAAAAAACAAATTTAAAGATTTATATTTTTTTAATGTTATCCCAGATTTAAATCGCGATAAGACCTTTATTGGATTTTATCAATTGGATTTAATTATATAATATTATGTACATTATATTATAATTATATTATAATATAATAATTATGAATATTATATGTACGTATTATAATATAATATTATAATATATTATTATATTCTACCATATAATTATAACATATATAATTTTTTCTATCTGTAGATTCTATCAATTCCATCAATTTTATCAATTATTTATTTATTATGTAACAGTAGAAATTAGTAATTTGGATGATGGAAACGGACACTAGCGTCCTATATTTCTAATGTTCTCCAGTATTAAATAAAGTAAAAGTCATATCATTGTATAAGTACTAGTCATATGTCAATCTTTGAACATAAGCTCTCGAATAAATCTTATTTTTCATTTGTATAGAAAATAGGTCCAAAATGGTCACCCTTCTTTTCGGAACTATTACATTTAACGGGCAGTCCCGAGTAGAGGTCGTAAGAATTTTTAAACAGAGTTCAAGATAAGGAAATCCACTTTCATTTTTCTTACCTTCGATTCTTCTTAACTTCGTACGTTAGGCCGGTAAAAAAAAGAGGTTTTTCCAAAAAAAGATTCCCCATCCCTGGTCTTGTGAACTCTGACCTATCGGGTTCACGCATCCTTAAGCTCCTTACTTATTCAGACCTTTGGTTTCATTCGAATTCATCCGCATCATTTCGTCGAAACTTTACTCCTCCTTTATTCTATAATTTGATTCTACAGATTCTTGCGTGTGCTCTCTGAAAACGGATCCCCCGAGAGTTTTAATCTTGCAAGATTTCTTGATGAAAAAGATCGATGCATGCATTTTTGCCTGACGATTGCCCAGCATGCGATGCCCACGCAAATTACTATCATTACAATATAGTCACAATTAATATAGCATACATTACTTTCTTGTTCGATCTCATTTCTTCTCATAACTATGCTAGCGTCATTATGATCACCATGGTCATGGATCACGAAGGCCTATAGTAATACCTAGCAATAACAATCTCTTTTTTACAATTAATGTCTTTATCATTATAACGATTGTTCACTTTAATAAAGACGCGTGTTGCACAGACGTAGGCAAGTTATCCGTTTATTTACAAAGGACGCACATTTTATATGAAAGTGGCTTCGGTCAAATTGGCTGAAAGTGAAATATGTTGTAGGTTAAGTGGTGCTAATCAAAAGTTTCCTTGGGCAAAAAGTCCGAAAATCAAAAGTATAAAATATGGTGATTTGAAGTGAGTGGTGGATTGAAGTTTGAAAAACTATTTTTGAATATATAAATTAAATTAATATATAAATGTTTTAATAATTCCAAATTCTTTCTGTTGTGCGTGTGTTACGCAGAGATCATGTGTGCGTGTCCACACACATACACACACGTATGCACACATATATATGATAGAGAGAGTTTGGAGTCATTAAATATTGTAAAAGTATACATTATATATAAATTTTTTTTCCAAACATTTATATATATTAATTTATGTATTCAAAAACAGACGTTTCTTAAATTTCAATACCACTTATTTCAAATAATGATATCTTTTATACTTTGGATTTTCGGACTTCTACTACCTAAACTATAATATATTTTAAGTTTAGCCAATTTGAAGCTACTTTTTTCGTATAAATGTGCAGGGTTTTTTGCTCTCGATGTTTAAGTATCAAGCATAAGTCCTTGTTGCTTCGTGATTAACCGGCAACACAATCACAAATTTGTTTTTTTAATCCAATCAATTCTTTATAATCTCGATAGAAATTAAAACACCTCGTTCTTTTAGCAATTTAATATGTAATTATGTAAAATATGCTCTTAAATATTTTACTGACAATAGAAAAATGGCTTTTTTTAAATTTTATTTATCAAATTGATTATTAATTCTTAAATTTTCCAGATTGATTATTTTCAATAAAGAGAACAAAATTATATGTGAAGAAAGATATAGATAAAAAAAATTGAAGGCGTGTTAAAGACAAGCCTTTCATTCGTACTTATTTGAGTAGTGTATCGCTGATGTTCGAGTATATTTGGCTCAATCGATTTATACCATGAGCGAGAGTTTCTGTTGAACTTACGACTTGCACGTAATCTAATTTGCACCTTGTCGTAAATGCCAGTTCAGAAACGGGAAAAAGCTTGGCGGAATTAATTCACTAGAATATTAAATGGAATATAAAAACAAATACGTATCAAAAAACACTTTTTAACTTTTGTTCAAAGCATAATTAGTAACGTAATAATTCTTTGCAATTTGATGATCAATACTTCATAAAACAATACAACATCTAGACGCACATAGTGATTGATTAAAATAAATTATTAGAGCGATAATATAATGTTATTAAGTAATTTTTCTACAATATCGTACCGTCCAATATTTTTGAAGAACATCGAGCTATTTTTATCGAAGCCATTAATAATGTCGTCGTAATTTCTTGTGCCTCTTCAGTGCACAACGAGTAATTATTCAATACATTTCACGAACGTCTGCGAAAGAGAAGAACGGTACTCAATTGTTCTTTTTAAAAACTCAAAGTACATGAATTCAGTCAAGTGCTTGCCTCCGCTGTGCATCATGGATATATCGAATTGTTCTTGTAATTCATCGTAACAAGTAATCGAATGTGATTGAATAAAAATTAAATTTAAATTTTAAAGAAATAAGATAGCACACAGATTGTCGCATTATTTTCAGGTAACTAGTAACGCAACGTGCTTTTTTAACAAGCAGTATGAAAAAGCCATTTTAGCGAGTTCTTACATTAGTCCCGTAGTCTAGCTAGAGTGCTCGCTTATAGACGCGTCACCCATTGCTAAATTTATATATGATTGAGAACGTATAGAATTAATGGCGTTGGTTGAATGAAAAATTGAGACTGTTAGTTGGAAAATTACCGAAATATATTGAACCTGCTCGGTCACAGGTCTATTAACGGAGCGAAGTGTATTCGAGTTAGTACATGCAGTCGACATGGTTGAGCATAGTGTGCTAATATACGTCCACCTTGTTTAACATTCCGCCAACGCACGTGGACAATCGTTACGTATCTATAGGAGCCTCCAATACCGCATAAGTAGCGCCACACTCGAAAAACACGGCAGATACACAAGATATAAACACCACACCTAGCACCAAAAGTTGAAGTTTGCGCTCGTGTTCTCCAAATTGCCGCGTGTATTTAGGACCTGACATCTGATATTGGTATCTTTCCTGATTTTGTTATAGGCCCGTGGGAGTCTGGGGAAAGATTGTGGGCTCATTATGCGCGATTGCCGGTGTCTTGACGATCGCTCTACCTGTCCCCGTTATCGTCTCCAACTTCAACTACTTCTATCATCGTGAGACTGACCAGGAGGAAATGCAGTCGCAAAACTTCAATCATGTGACCAGCTGCCCGTACCTTCCTGGCACTTTAGGTATGCCTTAATGTTTCTTCATGGGATAAGAGAGATCGATTTAAAAATTAATGATAATAAATTGAAATGATAGATAATTGAAAATGCGAAAGAAAGATTTTCATGTAAATGTTTTCATGAAAATGTATGTTGTGTGTTCTTCAGGTCTGAAGAAAATCTCGATGTCGGAATCCTCGTCGGATATAATGGAACTGGAGGAGGGCACCTTGTTTACTCATCCAGAGATAACTAAGAAGTCAAATTGCAACCCTCGCCACAATAACAATATCAATCCAGCCTGCATGAGCATCGAGACTGACGTTTGACTACTAGGTATTGCAGTTTTAATTTGTCCATACATTATACTCGATCGCGAAATATAGGCAAATAATGTTGTCTCCTCTCTACGCTATCAATTGCAGTGAAGGAGATGGTGGTAGCGTGGTGGCCGTTGCTGGGCCAGTTGTCAAAGAACAACTGCTGTTCCCTGCGGTACCTGACGTAGGCCTCCTTCACACCTCGTCATAGCCATAACGGCTGGCACTAGCGTCACATCTCGCCAGCCTGTCCAATCAGATCCGTCAGGGGCGCTTCAAGTCAAGATCGCGAGGAATCACGGAGGGTCACGTAACTATCTGAGACGTCGATTAGGTGCTTCCTCCATCCGTGACGAGAAACGGGGAAGAAAGATGGGATAGACCCAAAATGGGACGAAATAAGAACGAATCTCTCCCCGTTCTCGAGACGTCGTCATCTCTCCCGCCACCGCCTCAGAAGACTTGCGCCTCATATAAGGATCTACGTGCGAACGAAGGGGACGGGATATTCCTCGCTCGAGTGCCCTGCGAGCACGCGTGCGGCCCGAATCCCCCACACCACCGACTCCAGTGTTCAAAACAAAAAAAAATAAAATAAATAAAAATATAACAAATGATATCGAAGAAACATCGCGGCGTCTTCGTATAAGCGCTGTCGAGTGTCCCACCCGTCCCTGCGGGCTCCTCCGGCTTCCGGTATCAGACGAGTGAAAACGGAAAGGGGGAGCCGATAGAGGCGGCAAAAGCAAAACGGGGGATCGTACCAGATAATACTATATTAATTATTATCGATACAATTAATATCGAGTACCGTACATGTAGGGCGAGGATAAATTAACAAAGTACGTTTTATGGTTAATTGCGAGTGCGGACGAGGACACTTGGACGAAGACGCTGTTTGCAGAAGAAACGAAAACGGCGGAAACGGCAAAGAGGCACATGAAAGAAGCGTCAACGACGAAAGACCGAGGAACAACGTTTATAAAGAGAAAACGAGAGAGAGCGAGAGCTAGAATAAGAGTGAGAGAAAGAGAGAAAGAGCGAGAAAAAGAGAGCGAGAGTCAGAGAGAGCGAAAGCGAGAGCGAGAGCGAGAGAGAGAGAGAGAGAGAGAGAGAGAGAGAGAGAGAGAGAGAGTGTGTGTGTGTGTGTAATGTGCGTTGGAAAGATATTCCATGTCGTTTTAATTCTTTTTTTTTTTATAAAAAACAAGCTGATTTTCATATCATCATTACATGATACATTATTAATGTGAAACAATTAGATAACAAATTCAATTTTTTCGATTTGTTACATTCGCGCATCTGCGTACACGTAAATAGACTTACAAGTGCCGATGAAGCGATAAGGTCGAAATCGAATGACGCTATTATTTCTTAAAAATAAAAGATTAATATATCGTTAGAGAAATTAATCATGATGATTAGACATTTGCGAAAATAATGACGCAAACGATTTCGATGATATCTACATGTGACTGTAAAGGTTACTCTGCCAATGTCGGTTTGCCCCTGCCACTTAAAATTGCTACAATAAAAATTATCTAGATCGAATATATCCGAAAAAGAAACTAGATGCATATTGTGAAAAATCAAAACATTACTTAAAATAATTATCATTTTTGAAGGAAATTACTTATTGATGTCAAATTATAGCACAATTTTATCGTTACAATTAAAGCTTCATATTATACATATATACATAAAAATAAATGTATTCGTATGCTTATATCTGATGCGAAGAAAAATAGAAACTAGGCGTCAGCATTATAAGTGGCAAAGGTGTATGTCCGTCTGGTAGTAATTTCGAAGATTATGATAGATATTGCGACAGATTAAATATGGAGATATCGCATGAGAGCGATTGTAATGATAACAAGTGTCCAAAAAATCAAAACCGAAAATGTCTGCCGATGGCGCGTTTATATCCAAATCATAATTTGAAACCTTTCAACGCATACGACTTGATATTTCTGTCTTCGATGTATGGAATAGTGACTTTTCGAGAATCGTGGATAATTGTTTACACTGGGGACAGAATAATGACTATTAATGATGATTAGCGTGCATGAAAGTACGCATGTTAAAAATAGCTCATATATCACGTTCTTCGTCTTTCAAAGCTCAAAGATCAAAGGATTACTGTGCGATTTCTTATGGAACTAAATTTTGATTCGTCTTGGAGCTGCCAGAGGCATTCCTTTGATAACGAGGCGTAAAAGCTCGTTGTAAAATATCGAGAGAAAAACGTTACGATAGTTCTTATGGTTTTCCTCTTCCTCTCCTGTAAGCAAATTTTCAACGGAGTCAGTATTTTGCAAAAGTCATCTTTAACTCGTCCGAAACACCGTGTTACATTTCAATGATCAACAAGGTAGAGTTTAGATCATTGTTTTGAATTTTAAGTTAGATGGCAATAGAATTTGTATCAAGAAGGAAGAGGAAGATGTCGAGACATGCTACCGTTTGGAGAACGAATTGGCACGCCAATCGATCCTAGCACTTAATCTCTTCCCGAAGAGAATTTTCAAATCTATTCGTCTCAAAGTTCTACTCCTTTTAGTACGACAGAAACATGTCGTAGAATCGCCAAAAGACTGCCATTTTAGCGCTCTCGATTTATATCGCGCCAACAAATTACCCCAGGTACTTCCTGCGGAGCCAAATCGGTCCAAATCCGATCAATCTTCGACGTGCTAATTCGATCTAAATTCGATGAGAACCGAAGTCAAGTAGCGGGACATATCTTCACTCGCGTAGAATTCAAGAATATCGGAAGAGGAGAGATGTATACGCAAACACAAAAACACAAAGTCTTCGTTCCATTTCCCGAAGTTACCGATTTTCGATCGTCATTCAATTCAATGGAAGAAAACCGAAGCAGAGCCCAGGTGAACCTTCTCAGTATCCATTTACTTTATATACATTAGTTTATGTACATTAGTTTTTGATTGATTGGCATATATTAAAGCTTTATATAAAGCGTTATATAAGCGTATAAAACTTGAGTAATAATAAAAAAAAAGTTAATTGAAATTTACAGAGTCACAGTTTTACTTAGATTAATATACTTTGATACTGAAGAGGTTAACTAATTCTGTTTAAGAAGGCACATGTGATTTCAGGCTGATACATAATGAAAAGTTTCAAGAAAATATAGGAGCAAGAAGCAGAAAATTAGTTTGCCAATATTAACTTAAAGAATAAAGAAATAGTTGCGCAAATAGTAACACATGAAAAAATAAATATTATCGAGCAATAAAATCAATGAAGTTTAGTCTCATAATTGTCAACCATAATATAAGTAATAAAGAGGCATTGAATTAAAGCATAGACATGATTGAAAAGTCAAATGTGTAGAATGTTTTCTGTCTTTTAGGATGGAAGTTTTGCACCGATTTAATTGAAAAAAGGAATATATAAGGATTGCATTATTCGGGATATATATTTATTCCCGATTCGTTGTTCGATGTACCATTCATTGTTTGCTGGTAACTTACGCTCCTTGTTCTTATATTTCATTGTGTATCAGTTGCAATTGTAGATATCGATTATGCAGCAAATGACGAAGCAAGCAATTAAAAAGAAACAAAGAAGGAAAAGATAATTCGATCTCAGTAGGTAATCTTTCTTAGAAGTGATTTTAACAGACGGCTAATCTCATTTTTTAATAGACGCAATATCGATAATGGTGAAATTATAGAATCCATGAAAGAGATTGAGAGAAAAAGAAAGAGAAAGAAAGAAGAAGAGAAGGAGAGAATGGAGATTGCTTGTGTATATGTGTGTGTATGTATGCGTGTACGTCTGTAAAAGAGAGAGAAAAGAGAAAGAAGTAAAGGAATAATGAAATATATAGAGATATAATAAGATATATTGATACAATAATATTACACGGAGATTTAAGTTACACGCTTTTAATACAATACTCAGACCTCTTGCCTCGCTGATTTAGTCCGAGAAAAGAAATATAATAATAAAAAAAGCAAAATATAAAAATTATGCATCAAACTACCAGCCTAGCTAAAATCGTGAAAGTGAAAGAAAGAGAGAGAAAGAGAGAGAAAGAGAGAGAGAGAGAGAGAGAATGTGTGAAAACAAGAGAGACAAAAGTGAGTAAAAAAATTGTTCTATAAACGATAAATTTATATTACTACTACTAAAAAATACTATTACTGTACTATCACTACTGCAACCGCTATTTACTATTACTATTACTACTATTACTCTCTTATCATTACTATTTACTATTATTATTAACTAACTATTGCGCTATTACTATTACTACTACTGCTGCTACTACTGAACAAAAAAACACGCTATGGTGAAGTATTTAGATAACGAGAAACTACTCCGCTAGGCAGTCAGTAGTCGTTAGAGTACACGAAGATAGCCATTAGGTGGCGAATTATGACATCATTGTTGTCGCTGCGTCGGATTATTCATAATAATCGTATCAAAATTCCAAGTCTCCGTAGAATCGATCAAGCCGAGGCGGTTATACATAGTCGGCTTAATAAATATGAAAAATAGGCCGCCGTCAGATAGAAAAAAAAATATTATAAAATGCCAGATACGTTATTGTTCCGTTCGGTTTCCATCGGCAGACTTTCGTTGCCTGAAAATAAATGCCAAGGATCAAACTTTCATGATGACTTCTCAAAGATCTTTTTCCATTTGTCTTACTCTAAAAGTTACTCACATGATAAAGCAAAAAGAAAAATTAAATATTAATTAAATATTAAATATTAAATTACTTTCAATTTTTCAATCTTATTTGAATCGTTTATTAAATTAAAATTAAGTTGAGACCTAAGACAAAGTTTACATATGAATTTATTCAAGCAATTTATATTATGAAAATTACTTGTTCATTAGAGATTTAAAAAATCGAGATATAAAAATTGATTTTAATAGATCATCTTTAAAATTCTTTTCGCTCATAGCACGAATCTGAAGTCGTCATGCAAAAGCGAAATCCTCGAAAATTCATTGGACTTCCATTATGTTACGCCGTGTCTATTTTTAATTACGCGAACAAAGAAAGGAAAATAAAACCAAACGAGGTGTCACGGAAGTGTAACTTTCGACGTTTTCTGTTTGTGCATCGAGGCACGAAAAGGCGTCTTATAAAAGGGCATAAGACAAGCGTGCGGGGAGTAGTCGCCGATGTTCCTTCTGTAAAATTAAGTCACCTGCATTCCCGGAGGAAGAGGGAAAGGAATTTTTCTCCTCTATGATCCTTTCCGCTGTGGTCTGTACGAATCGATTAACGAAGCGATTGTCGATTATCGAAGCGTTCCCTCCACTGAGGATCCAAAAAAGAGATAGAAAAAGAAGGGGAGAATGTGAATTACTTGAATGAAAAAATGTATGAAGGGGAAGAAACGCGCGAAAGAGACAGCATGAATGGAAGTATGTCTGAGAATGAGTGGGAGGGAGAGAAAACATTATCGGTAGTGAGAGAATTATGCGAGTCGAAGATGCATTCCGAAATAATTAGTTAACAATTAAAAAAAGAAGAGAGATACTAGTATCGCCATACGAAGTTAGAATTATATTTCGCTATTGCCATAAAGCGAGACGATTTGTCACTGCTAATTAATTAAAGCGAGAAGGGGTCGCAAAGAGGAGTAAATCGGCGCATTGTCGAGAGTTCCCTTTTTTGATCAACCAAAAGAATAACTAATAATAATAGTAATAATAATAATAATAATAATAATAATAATAATAATAATAATAATAATAATAATAATAATAATAATAATAATAATAATAATAATAATAACGCGTATGGTAATCAGGCTGGGTAGGATATTACGAATATTATTATTCAAAGAAGATAAAACGAGTAATTAAAAGCAATTTAGATGCCGGCGTCATTCTCGAGCATTCTCCATCTTGTTTTGATCTCTTCGTGAATCGCCACGATCGATCCTTTCTTGCTCGGTCGTTCTTCTTGCATGATCAACACCACTATCGAATTAAAATAGCAATAAGCTACTAAAATTAATCACCTGACGTCAAGTGAGGATAATCCAATCGCGGATTGCCTTGCAGAGATAAAGAATCGATACGCGAAAGGTAGAATCGATCGGAATGAATCTTCGCGCATTTAAACATACGAGGGTGATACACGAAATGGCACGGAGAATGCTCGAGCGCCGCCTGGATAAAAGAAAGAAGAAAATAGTAAAAA